TCATACAGGAAGATGGATCTCTCCATGGCTGATGGTGGATTCAGGATTTATAGGTTTTTGCCCAAGAAGGTGTCTACAGCATTACCCCACCTGAGCAGAGAAGAGTGTCCCTGAAGATGTTTCCTGGACAGTTAATACAGTCTAAGCCTCCAGAATTAAAAGCATCAAAGGTCTGCCAACTTCCTTAGAAGCTTCTTCCCTAGGCCAATAATATCAGCCAACATTCAGTCAATAGTTATGTGCTAAGAACATTACATACAGCTTTTTATTTTGTTTTCCTAACAATCCTACAAAGAAGGTGCCTTTATTATTTCCTTTTTACAAACAAAGAAATGGTGGCAGAGAAAGGTTAAACAACCTGCCCAGGTTCCTCCAGGTAGGAAGTGGCAGGGTTGAAATCTGTCTCCTCGACTTCAGCTCCCAAATCCTTAACCCCAAGGCTACATTGCCTCAGAGTCTTCACTTGGTTCTGAGGGAACCTTTAGAAACTAGAGCCCGTGGATGAGGTACTTGCTCAGAACGCTTGAAGCTGACAAGCTGAGTGGATGGGTCGCAACTCTGTGAAACTGCTCATCTGGCCCCAAAACTTGACTTCCCTCTCCACCATTCTCCCTCATTTCCTTCTGTTAAATATCTCCTACTCAACAGGGGACAAGCCTGAAACTACTTCAGGACACAAGTTGAAGTAACTTTGATTAGTGGTTCAGAAACATTAAAATTCACAATATTAAGAGCAGCAGCCACCATAGTAGCCCTGTCTTCTAATGCCAATTATTTTAAATAATTTACTCATTTGATCCTTATCACAGACATCTGACATAAGTGTAGTCTCCACTTTACATATCAGGAAGCCCAGGGTCAGGGAGACTAAGTGACTTGCCTGTGTTGTCACAGGAGTAAGAAGCAGAGGGGTGGAGGGGGACTGGCCGAGTGGCGCGTTGGTTAAGAGCTGGCTTGGGATGCCAGAGGGCCCCAGTTCGGATCCCACATATGAGGGCCAGTGACATTGCCCTCTACAGCTAAGATGCTGAACAACAGCTAGACCTGGAGCTGGGCTGCCGTGAGTCGCCAGCGATGGTGTAGGCTGCAGCCCCTGCTGCAGTGGGTTGCCATGGGCTACCGTGTGTAGCCAGCAGCCAGCGTGAGCGGCCGTCCAGAAGCCGGCGACTGATCTGCCTCACCTGGGAAGAACTCAATGATGGTGCCAACTTGGGCCAGTGAAGCAACTTCCTCCACAACTAGTCTGAAGAACAAAACGACAGCAACTTGTCTGTTCCCCTTCCCAAAATTCCCCAGCGCTGTTCCCATCCCTCCAATTCCCCAATAAAAATCTTAAAAAAAAAAAAAGAAGCAGAGGGGGGATTCACACCTCCACCAAGTCAGCCCACCACACATCCCTTCCACCTGCGAAGCAGCTTCCCAAAAGCTCTTCCTTCCATTCAAGTCCATGTAGCCCATGATTCCTTCATTCTATACTTGTCCTACTGCATTATCCATTGCTTCTTGATTAGCCTGACTGAGGGTATTTCAAGAGACAAAGCAATGAAGACGGATGCTGGTCAGTGAGTGGCAGAGCACAGGGGGTCTCTGTGATAAGGTGTGGGAGCAGCACTAGTAGCCAGAAAGGCCAAGGACAGGACTGGCTGGGGGCCTGGACACCCTTCCTCTAGACAGCCCTTGGCATCAACCCCCTCTCTGAGTACGAGGAGACAGAAAAAAGAAATGTAAAAAACAAACAAAAAAAGCAGACAGACAAGAGAACCAGACTTGGAAAGCCAATAAACAGCAAAACCATGGAAGCCCACAGTACCCGGAGCCAAGACAGCCCCAGACTAGTAGACAAGGGTTCAAATCCAGGTTATGCCCCCAGCGAGCTGATGACCTCAGGAAGATCACTTCAGCTTTCAGAGCCCCCATGTCTCACCGAAAAGGCGAAGCAGACCACCTGTTTCCTTCTTACTGAAGCAGGGTGTAGCGGGCATAAAAACAGGAAGAGCACAATGCTCCATTCAAAGCCACCCACAGATATAAGCTAAGCACTGTTACCATGACATCTGCAGCTCTGCCCTCTCTCCCCATCTTCTAGAACCATAGCTCATACAGCGTTTCCAAGAAGGCGCATCTGGAATCTGTTTCATTCACGATCCAATGTGACCAGGTACAGGTTGTGAGGGAGCAGACTTATGCCATTTGCTCATGAACCCCTTGCAGCAGGCACCGTGGGTTCCCGTTCTGGGGCTCCCCCAGAACTGCGCTACTCTACTAAAATGCCACCAAGGGGCAGGCGACACTACAAGGCTCAGAGGCAACCGACCTCATGGTTAGGAAATTCAGCTGCAGTTTTCTTTTTCAAAACTTACCCATTCTTGCAGTTACTCTCACTCTGAGAATGGTGCAGCTGGCATTGCAAAGAAAGCTGCCAGGGCAACAGGCCTAGGGTACAGAAAATGCTGCTGCTGGCAAACCCACAGAAACAACTTGATAGAGATCACATGTAAAAAGGCGATTCTGCAGCTGAGGGCAAGGGTGAAGCTGTAACTTGGACCTAAATTCATGACATGTAAGCCCTAAATGCCAGTCTCCCTGGTTTCAGCTGCCACCGGCCATGAGCAGCCCAGAGGCATGCTGTATTAGGCCCATGTGAAATGTCCACCCACTCTCACCAAGTTTTAAAAACTTTTTTCATTAGCTGCCAATTTATTTCACATTAAACACAGGTTACCACTTTCTCCTAAAAACGTGGAAGATCTGACAACCCTGGGTCCACATTCCCACAAAGCAACTCTGCTAGAGGGTAGACCCTTCATCGGGGCACAGGCTTTCCAGTTGCCCCAGGCCTCAGCAGTTTCCTCAGTTTTCAAAACTGCCTTCCGTGGGCATCTGAGTTTGTGACTCCTAATTTACAGGTGGTAATGTGGACCAAGGCTCATTTTGAATTACTGCAAAGGTTGAGGGTCTGGCTTCCACAAACTTCTAGAGCAGAGAGAGTGAACCCAAAAATCTGGAATTAAACCACTGTCAGCTATAACCTGGCATTTCCCTGTTCCCCTTCCCCCGCCTCACCCCCCCCCATCCCCAAAATGCCACTCAGGTGATTAGAAGGCCTTGCCTCTAGAGAAGGGAGCTCACACAGCTAGAAAGCACCTTTGTTACATTTCCATAACTCCGAAAGCTTAAAAAAAAAAAAGAGCAAATATCACCATAGATCTTTTCTTCAGAGTTCTAATGAGATAAATGGGTGTGATTTGTAAATCCCACACCAGGAAGGATAAAAGATACAGTGGGTATGAATTCTCCAAAGACAGGTCCAGTCTTGGGGAAATTCATGGAGCTCTTCACCCTCTCTGACCCCCACCTGAGGCTGGGCATTAGACATTTACACCTTGATGTAGAACTTAAATTGGTGAGCTTCACCTCTTAGGAGTATTTCCACCATAGGCTACAAGACAGTTCCCAGTTAAAAATGGTTCAGCTACCAGGAGAAAAACAAGGAAGGCCTCAGCAAGGCTCTGTGAGCACAGCCACCCATTCCATATCAAGTTAGCCCTGGTGGAAATTAATTTTTAATGCCTAAATAAATGAAAGCATCAACCAGCCTAGGGCTGAAAATTCCCACCAATAAACACTTCTTAGAGTGGAGTTGGATTTCTATCCCCTGTAAAATGCAAACATGTTATCTGACTGACATCTTAATTAGTCATACTTAATAGTTTCATGTCCACATTTTACCTAAGTTTCAAATTCTGACAGAACTTTACACAGGAGAGCAAATCTGATGGTGGAAGAGGATGAAAAAGTCCAGGATCCTAGGCAACCAGGAAGATCAGGATGAGACAACACAACAGTGAAATGAAGAGCACAGAATATAATAAATGATAATATTTGCCTGAGCTAGCACTACTAGACAAGACTAAAAATCATAGGTAAGTACCTTCCTACCCTGGTATCCATCTTTTCTCCCGGTCACTGAGATATTAAACAACAAGCTTTTCCATCTGTAATGATAAATAATAGCTAAGATCCTGATGAGTTGCTAAAGGAATGGCTCTAATCTTGGGCAGGGGCAGATGGAGGGGGGGCAACTTAAAACAGTAGCTTGAACAATTCTACGAAATGCAGTATAATGTTCTACTTCATTTTCATCTTCCCCATAAACACACACACACACACACACACACACACACACACACACACTACATTACCCCAAAAAGGATTAACATATATTTTTCTAAAAGTGAAATGAAAGGTCTAATAATTTAGGCCTTATATTAAGATGGTGCATGTAGCCAAGCTCAAATCAAATCATACCCTAAGAGCCAATATTTTTGCATTTAAACCACTGCAACTTGTATATAGAGAATCATTGTAATGGCAGCGTCTTCATCTCCTCATACGTAAACCAGCTGTCTTTGATGAAGATAGCCTGATAGGAGACTACAAAAATATTCCCTCTCTCAGCATTCATAAAGGAAGGGGGGAAAAAAAGAATCAGAGTGCAGGTAATGATTCTCACCCAGTGAACAAAATAGTCAAAGACACATTTCAGTATGAAATTGTGTCCTCTAGTTTCTATATCCGAACGTCAGTTGTGCCTGAAAACCTAATGTAAATACTCTATGGATTAAATTGAGGTGCAAAGGAAAAAATAGTTCTCATTACAACAGTCATTGAATGGATGCAGAACAACAGATGCCAACAACGTGCACTGGATCACTGTGCTATATAAAAATCAGCCCATTTCTCTACATAAAAGACAACTTGCTTTAAAATAGTCAAAAGTCTAAGGATAGGGACACAGACCCCAGTATATGAAGTCTTTTCATCTTGCCCAGTGCTTCTCTCTGCTCAGTCATTCACAATCTGCAATGAGTTCTTTAGGACTCCTAAAATGCTGTATATTCTCTCTGCACCCGCCCAACTTCCCCCAGGATATCCGTGGAGAGAGGTCACATGGGAAGCTGGTACCTTCCGGAAAGACTGTTAAGGAAGAAGGGCCTTACCACTTCTGGGAGCAGCCTAGTTGAGAGGTCATGGATGGCTTTGACCACTATACATATGGATGACAGAAGGAATATCACCCCCAAGATGACACAGGCTCTGCAAAGAAACAAAACATTGAGACACTTAACTGGAGAACTCCACCCTGCTGATTTACACAGTGACAATGACACAACCCGAGGCATTGGGACCCAACCAAAATTTGGCACACTCTCACTGTGACCACCACAGTCTCAGAATTGATACTGCATCATCTCTAGGAGAATACAGTTTGGAATTTTATCACCAAAATCAACCCCATACGTAGGAAAGGGGCTCACCATCCTACATAATCTCACCGCTTCTCATGAATGCTGGGATGGAAGGGACTCTGAGGCCATGAATTCCATCCCCCATGCCTGGCAACACAATATTTCACTTCTCCTTCAGCTGAATGGTGCAGGGTTTAATTGCAAAGAGTGGAGGCTCTAGCATGAGACAGACACCCCAAACTCTATCATTTGACATGTTGTTTGATCTTGGTCAAGCTACTTAACTTCTTTTAGGCTCTATTTCCTTACCTGTCATATGGCAATATTTTCTTCTTGATTATGAAATGAGATAATACACAGAGTAACTCATGAAATGTTGGCTTAAACAAAGGAAAAGAGGAGTTCATCTGGATGTCTCTCTCTGGTGATACAACACCTTGGGATTTTCCCAAAGATAAAAAGGAGAGATGACATGGTAATGACAAAAGACAGCATGTTTATGGCAAGGTGGAGCAATTCTTGAAAAAGAAACGAGGAGAGACAAGTTAGGATGAGGTCAATCAATCCAGCACAGGAAGAGGATGAAGAGGCCACGGGACGACACATTGCCAGGGCTGTGGCATGGGAGACAAAGGGGCTTGGGATGTAGTTCTTGTCTCTGACAATGCAGACACACAAATCGCAGGAGAAAGAAAGATGGAAAATGAAAAGTAAACATCAGGAAATGATGATAGTAAAACAAGGCTCAAAATACTAACTGAAAATGAAAAGAGAGAGAAAAGAAAGAAAATACAATAAGCACTACAGTTAGCTCTAGGTCATTCTTGTCCCAACCTGATGTCTCCATCATTTGGCAGTCTCCTCAGCTCTCTTTCCCCCCGATCAAATAAAATCATTTTTCATTATCCATCTTGGATTCCTTCTCTGGACTAACAGAATGGCCCAAAATTTCCCACATCATATTGACATGGCACCTACTTACAATCCTAACAAACCTGTGGATAGACATGTTTATTCTAGAAGTCAGAAATGGACAGGTAAACATGGCTACTGGGAGGCCACTCAGTAGGGCTTCTAATCCACACTTTAGTTGTAGGTTTTATTCTTGCAAAACATAGACAGAAAGAAGGCATCGTTGCAGGCTGGGGTGATACACAATAGAACATGGAGATGTATGAAACATAATGAATGGGCTGAGGGTCTTGGTACAGACAGATGTAAGCAACAGGAAGTCCTAGCCCCTGAGTTTCAGCCATGCCAGTGGGGAAGGTGGTTATGGGCCAGCTGTGCCCTACACTTTTGCTGGGCTTTTCTACTCAAGAGCAAATGGGACCGTGAAAGGTCCCATTTCAGGAAAAGAGCCAAAAGTCAGGATAAACCTCCAAGATAAGATCTGTGATGTGTGTGTGTATGTATGTGTGTATGTGTGTGTGTGTGTGTGTGTGTGTGTGTGTGTGTGTGTGTATGTATGTTTCCCCGTTCAAAATACTCCTGAGTGGCTAGCAGAGACTGATTTCACCCTTTCCTACAAATTCCGACACCAACTCAGTGTTTCTTAACCCTGATGGTATATTGCACTCACCAGGGGATTTTTTTTTTTAAGATTTTATTGGTGAATTAGGGAAAGGGAACAGTTTGGGGAAATTGGGGAAGGGGAACAGCCAAGTTGTTGTCCTTCAATCTTAGTTGTGGAGGGTGCAGCTAACTCAGCTCCAAGCCCAGTCGCCATATGGCCTCCCATCAGCAGCTCGCGACCACTCAGTTCACGGTGCTGTGTTCAATCTTAGTTGCGGGGGGCGCAGCCCTCCATCCCATGCAGGAGTCAAAATGGCAACCTTGTTGTTAAGAGTGCACACTCTAACCACTGAGCCATCCAGCTTCCCAGTCAGCAGCTCATTGCAGCTCAGCTCAAGGTGCCATGTCCAATCTTAGTTGGTGGAGGGAGGAGGGGCACAGCCCACCATCCGGGAGATTTTTTTCCTTTTGAACAACTGTCCAGAGAATGCTCCAGTTCAATTTTATCAGAATCTCTGGGGTTGAAACCAGGTATCTGTATTTGTTTAAAAGCTCCCCAGGCAAGTTCCCTGGGTGCTAGGGCTGAGGGTCTCTACCAGGTGAGGCACGGTCCTGTGGGCTGTGTAGAAAGCAGGCCGGGAGTAGGCATCCCAGCTGGTGAGGAAGGAATGGGGTCTGATGGTCCCTAAGAGACTTGTAGTGCATGTGTGTACGAAGCTGTTTGCTCCCCCTGAGATGAGAGTAGGGCAGCTACCACTCGGGTGCTAGACCTTTGACAACATGTCACAATGTTTTCAAAGACTCCATGTCCACAATTCTATAGAGGACAAAGGAACAAATATCCAAGCTTCTTCCTGATAGGGAACAGTGATGCTGCAAGAATCTCTCTTTCTCGAGGTCACACCTCTATAATGCACAAAAAGTGGATTTGGATTTTGTTAACAATACTTAAGGAGACAAGTGTTACGAATATAATGGTCTCCTTACCTAGTATCTTGCGTATATATCTTTAATCAAAACCATACTACAAATCCCTGAAAAGCAAGAACCATATTTTTATATCTCACTGTCTGCTGTAGCACATAGCTGGTGCCCCATATACATCTGCAGAGTGGATGTAATCATTAACCAATTAAGTAATCATTAGGTCATTTGTACATGGGCGTTTAGGGAGCATCAACTGCCTACCAGTGGGGATGGGAGGAGGAAAGACATGCTAAATACTTCATCCAAAATGCCCATGGAATAGCCCACATTGTAAAACTACTCTGAATTGTATATAATGAAAATTTTTAAAAATTGATGATTTGGTTTATTACAGCTGAATTTTACAGAACTGTCATATTTTCTTCACCAATATATACCTATGCGTATGCTCACAAATGTTTTAAAAACCTATTTTAGACTTCTTTTAATTGTGTTGCAAATTCAAAAACCAGTCACCCTTCCTTCCCGCTGCAGGGAGCCAATGTGTCAGAGCAGATCCCATAGCCTAAGCAGCTATTATTAGCAGAGGGTGTGATGCTATTTTTTAACGTTTTATTAATAATACATTGTGTTTACACAGCAGCTTTCTCCTTAGGCACTCCGCGTTCCACACATCAGCTCATAAATGCCCTGCAGGCCACCGCCCAGACCTGGGTTTTCGGTTTTCTGTTATTTTATGGGTTGGGAAGGGAAGAGGTATGTTTCATCAACACAAGGAGTCAAAATGGGGACGTCAAGGACGGAGAGGCTTGCCCAAGGTCACCCAAGGCATTTGAAGTCCACCCAGGTCTCCTGCCTCCCTCCCAGTGGCCAGTGCCAGGCAACCACCCGGGGTTCTGGGTATGCATGTCCCACCCTCACACCACCATCACCCAGGACTGCAATGTCTCCAGGGTGCAGCAGAGATTTAGGTCAGGAACAAAGAGGGCTGCTTCTGAACCTGCAAGTGTGCGCTGCTTCCTGGTTTGGGAGGAGGCGGATGCGGGAGCAGCGAGGGTACCTGCTCCCTCATCACACTGTGGCCTGCACCTGGAGAGGCTAGCCCAGCAAGGCACGAGGGCCATGTGCCCATGGACCTGACAGCATTAACGAGCCTGGTCACTGGAATGGACGCAGGCTCCTCCCTCCTGCCCAAACCTCAGAGGATGAAAACGTTATGGGTCATGAAGAGGCAAATAAACTACCACCCCCTCCAACATAATCCCCCAATCAACTCAGGCTGTAGTCAAATTTCAATTCCCACAGGACCAGTGGTTGGCAAAGTGTGGTCCACAAATCAGCAGCATCAGCAGCACCTGGGAACTTGTTAGAACAGCAAATTCTGGAGTCCACCCCCGAGTTACCGAATCAGACACTCTGGGGAGGGGCCCAGCAATCTACATTTTACAGCCATTTCATAAGCCCTTCAGGTGATTCTGATGCATACTCAAGCTTGAGTCTTGCCATTGACACATTTACTATCTGAAAAAAAGACTACTGAAGTCCAAAGAAAAGGTTAAAGTCAGTGGCGCCTTCTTTTTTCTTCTGCTAAAGACTGCAAATTGCTAATTGTGTACAGCATTATAAATCTATGAATAATCTTGCAGGTAAGCCTCAGTTTTTGCCTCTGAAATAATAAGAGCAAAACCTATTGACAAAAAGTCTCACATCCAAAATGATGTAAGGCTGAAATGATGTTTGGTCCCTTGTCAATTGCAGGTTTAAAGGCCTGTGGTTCCCATTAATAGAGCCTGAGTCTTAGTATACCAATTCTAACTTATTTACCAAAGAAAAGCTTGTTCTAATCATCCCCTAATTACAAAAGATCTAAAACACAGCAGCCCTGGCAATTAACCAATTCAGGCTACAGCTTAAAATGTAAGTGCTTTATTTATCATCTTTCACCGTAGCCTCAAAAGCACTTGTAATCTGGGACATTGTTCAAAAGCAAAATAATGAAAAATAAAACAGTGAAATGGTACTTATGGATGCACAATTTCTAATGCTGTTTTATTCTAGCTAGGTCCTATTTCACTCCATGTACTCTGCCATTTTAAATAAAATAACAAACAAAATCAGTTTGGAGGCAGAATAAAGGAGAAAATGAGCAAAGAGTGTTTATGCAAAGAATGCTTATGAGCTATTTCTCATTCTGTATAATGGCTTTGCCAAAAAGTCACCTTTTTTTTTTACCCCAAAACACTCCCTCAGCCTTCCTTACTCTATTACTACCAACACATGCCTCCTCTCCTACTGCAGGAATTCCCTCCTCTCTTCTATCTATTCTTACTCATCTCACCTCCTTCCCTTGACTTTCCTAGGCTCTCTCTACCCATGTTCCCATCTCTCTTCTCTATCTTCGGGCTG